CGCCGTGTACGACATCAAGAAGCTCAAGATATGCTGCTCGGGCGCGGTGGCGAAGAACGCAAAGGCGCTCCTACCTCCTCGGGGTGCGGTTGAGCATTGGGCAGAGGGATCCTGTGACTTTGACTTGGTGTGTGAGAAGCTTCGGAAGCATGAGCGACTGCTGCCCTCTGGCGGAAGCGGCCGTCGTATCCATGGCATGGGTTCTTCCTTGCACTTGGTCGGGCATCAGGGGGATGATGGCGGACGACAGGATCAGGGGTCGGAGCTTGACGATATCCACTCGGTTTGTAATGCAACAGTCTTCGTTTATTTTGCCCGAGTTCTATGAGGTGTACGGTATCGTGAATGAGGCCATCATGTGCATGGGCGACAGCAATGTGCTCTTGTGCTCTTCGTAGCTGAAGACTTGCCCGACGACGTGGTTCTAGCAGAAGATGAGGCCATCGCCATGTATGCTAGCTAGCTACAGCCGGGCACGTCAGTACTTGCACAAACCGAAGCTTGGACCAGGCTTCTCAAACAGCCCCCCCCCCCCCCCAAAGGGCAAATTCGCAGGCTCCCGAGGGGGGGCGCCGCGGGGGGCGCGCTGGACACGCCCGACCGAAGCGGTGGTCCAATAGTTATATTGACGAGCCGTTCGAAACGCGCCCGACGCGGGAAGATGAGGCGCTGGGCTCGAGACTGCGCGAGCGAATCGGGCGAGCGAGGGCTCCGACAGCTAGCGGGCTTCGGCGCCTTCCAGGCCGCCCCCCCTCGAAGCAGATGATGCCCTCCATGGCGTTTGCCAGCGGGGGCTTACGATCCAGCCTGGAGTCCGTTCCTCTCTGCTACTGCCGGCGCTAGAGGTCAGGTTTTCATTGGACTTCAAGTTCGATGGGCTTCGGTTGCTTTGATGCCGGAGGCCAGCGTGGAGCGCGCGATGAAGATCATGTCGAGAAATGATGAAACATATTGGGGGTGCCTACGGTCTGGTGCCCACGCAGATGCCTACTCTGGAGGTGGACGCCGCGGGCGTCGGAGGATCAACCAAGTTTCTTTCCAGCTGGGTATTTCCTATTGCCGCGGCAAAGAACTGCGGTGCTCGGTACTCTTACGGTGCATTTGATTGCCTGTGATGCGCCCTTACTACTCCCAGTGGAAATGCTCGGACAGCTTGGCATGGTGCGTGAGTTGCCAGGTGGTGCTGCCACCTGGCACTCGAGGGCAGCCGGTCGAGAAAGCGCGAGGTAGGGGCAGGCAAACGCACTGCGATTAAGATGTTTGATTTCCCCGAGGAAGGTTGGCAGAGAAAGAGGACAAACCTCGGAGTTCCCCCCCGGACTCAGGGGCACTTCCGAGTCGTTGAGCCCAGGGGCGCCGTATTCCATGTGAATTCGCGGGCACTTGCGGCTCGAATCTTTCTTTCGTAGCCAACTGTCTACTCCCGGCGCCCCGTGCGACGTTGAACCCATCGGAGCGCGCCCTCGCCGGGAGCCTCCGGCGAGGCCCAGTCAGCCTGCGATGGCCCCAGAGAAGCGGACGTGGAATGGGAAGCAGTTATGCCTGAAGCTCTTCTCCATTCTGGGCCGCGTGCCCACGGGGCGCCGCGCGGCGGCCCGCGCCAGGGCCAACGCCTACAGGAATCTGCTTGGGGGCGCCAGTGGCATGGGCCAGGAGGCGGCATCTTCCGTGCAACGGCCTCGCGATCCACGACTTTTCCCCCGCGTTCTGAAGGTCGGCAGCGGCGGGTGGTTCGCGGCGGGCAAGAGGCTGGGCCCCGACGATTCGGGCACCGAAAAGACCGACCAGGCCGCGTGCGCGCGCCCCGGGAAGGCCACGCGACATCGGGGCAACAATGAGACCCTGTGGACGCGCGACGACTGCCAGATGCGCTGGGCGAGGCCCTCGACCGACGGCTTCTTCAACGCGGGGGTCCCAAGCCAACGGGAACGAACGACTTTCGAGGGGTTGGCGGGCTACGTCTTCAAGGATATCTACGAGATGGACTTCCAGCGTTGCGAGCGGCGCACGAAGACTCACGAGTTGTGCGACCCAGTGCCGCATCGACAACTTCGACGTTTGGCCGCGTGCACGGGCGAGCGCGAGATGCGCGAGGACATCGTGGACGGGGGCGGCTTCGAGACGGTCGTGGAGCGCGACGCCGGGTAGGTTTGCGGGCAGAAGATGTCTTCAATGGTCGCGGGGCACGTGTCCGAGTGCATCAGGGGCCCTGCGACGTCCTCTTCAATCCTACTGACTCCGTCGGATCCCCATCTGCAGATGATTTCGCCGACGAGAGGATGACAGAGGTTGCCTACGCATATGGCGCAGTCGAATTTATTCCGGATGCGTCGGCTGAACCGTCTTCTGTCCGTACTTTGGACCAGAGGGGGACTGGCGGCGCTTTTTTTAACCGCCAGGCTGCTACGAACATGATGTTCGCTGGCGCGTTGCTGGCAATCATATGTCCTCAGAGTGCATGTCTCAGTCAAATTGGGCAACTCATGTCTCCAGATGCTACTATTGTAAGCCTGGCTGGTCCAGTATTTGGTAAACGCATGGCCGTGCTTCGAGGCAGGTGGTTCTTGGTAGTCCGCCGCTCCGCAGGATTCGGTCGAAGCGTCCGAGGCGAGTAAAGGAGAATGGCGATTGTACTGGTGCTGGACCACCAACGGTGCTCACACTTCGTCTTCGGGATTCGATGGGGACGGTGTTGTAGCGATTCCCTATCAACAGGTTGAGCTTATCAAATAGGCCCTCCCGGTGAACAATGCAAGCCCCAGTCTTCCTCTGGAAGGAGTTCCTGGAGAAGATGGGCCTGGAGAAATTCCCGTTGACGACCCCGGCGCCGATGCCGATAGCGAAGATGACGTACCTGCTCAGCCAGACTGGACACCTACTGCCGATGAGCTGGCCGACCTCAATCTTGCTCATGACAACACTGGTCACCCTGGGAACCGAGGCTTCGTTCGACGGTTCAGACGGAGAAGTGCAGAGCCTGAGATAGCACGCTGGGTGCTGACAACTGGTAAATGCGACGAGTGCGATGCGCGCAAACGACCCTTTGCTCGCCGCCCTGCTGCTGTTCCTAAGTCTTACCGCTTCAACCATGTTGTGGGTGTTGATTTGGTCGAGGTCCAATGTCCACTCGATGGTGCACCCCTTTTTTTTTGGAGCAGTATCATATGTTGGGGCACCTTTTTTTTCTGGCGTTTGTATGTGCATGGGCACAAGTGTTCGGCGTGCCGTGCCAGTGGTTGTCACAGTTGATCTTGGACGGAGTTCTAGGGAACGCTTGCCGATGACATACAACAGCGGTTTATGCCTTTTCCCCACTGGTGCCCGTTCACCATGGCAAAACGGTTGAACGGAACGTGCTGATTAGAATGGAAACGACAACTCCGTCTAGCCGATCATCGGGTAGCTCTGGATATTTCAGCCGAGTGGTATGACATGGGGGAGTTGTGTTGCTGTGTTCGGAACCGTTGCCAGAATCGGAGTGGTTATCACCAATGCAACGGGCGTTCGGTTTTACATTGCGTCTACCAGCGACATTGCTCTCTGATGATCCCAGAGATCCCGAGTACCTGTCTACCAAACCGGTACAGGATTTCCGCCGAGCGGAAGAGCTACGCCGAGCCGCTATGAAAACATGGACTGCCATGGACGGCCGAACTCGACTACTCCGAGTCCTCCGCGCCAGACACCGTATACCACCGCTTTTCACGGAAGGTCACCTCATGTTTCTTTGGGGACAAGGGCGAGTTGGCTCAGGAAAGTGGTTTGGACCTGGTGTGATCATTTTACAGACTGCTGGTAGGGCTTGGATTAACGTGCGGGGAGCGCGGTGGCGTGTGTCTAACGTGCCAATGTGTAGTGCCACCAAAGATAATGTAGGGACATTGAGATCGTTAGTTGCTACACTCATGACCTTGACCTTGATCTCGAGCGCACAGGTGGAGCTCGTCGCTACGTTGACGTCGCTAGAGAAGAACACCCAATATTCCCTGCAGATGAGCCTCTACTCGACCCTGAAGCGGCAGACGCCGATGAAATTCCCGATGCCTACGACATCGATCTTGGTCAGGAACTGCAGCCGCCATCGTTGGAATAACAAGACTTGTTACCAATGGCGGAGAGTCGCGACGAACCTGGGCTGGCGCGCGCTGCGCCCCAAAGCGACGATCGACAAGTTCGACCTCCTTTAGATATCGCTTCCTCCGGTGAACCGCAGAGCGAGCCCTGTTCGAGACAGCCTTCTGTGGCGGGGGCTCCGGGGGGGACCTCCAGTGCAACTGCCCGAGGCCCCGGTATGCCTCGGCCCTCTTACTGCGTCGCCGTGCCTACCGCCGCCGGCGCCGACTGCGATTGCACCCGCTGGTTTTCCATCTGCAAATGAGATTCCGCAGACGAGCCGGCAATACTTGGACAGCAGTCACAATGTTCAGGTAACAGATAATTTGTTGGGGGCGCACAAGACCCCCGACCTGGACAACATCTACACAGCTTGTCGATCAGAGGCAGCCTTCCTCAATGCCTCTAAGAGTTATATATATATATATGAATATGTTTTATTGTTGTTTTTTCATAAAGAAAAATCTGGGACAAACGGGCTGATGATGCAAATTGTATCAATCCGTTACCTGATCATCTTAAACAGCGGTTTCTTGGACATGTCAACAGCCGTCATAATGAATGGTATGAGATATGTGCTGCCGGACCTGACGGCGCCAAAACAATGCGCGTCCGCAGAGGCGCGGCTGCCGCCGATAGTTACCGCATTTGCAGATATTCGAGGGGGTTCGAGCGAGGATAATGAGTATTGCATGCATGCACGTTTGTATGTTTGGCCGAAGCCATTTTGTGATCGAGTTCGCCCAGGCCTGAGGTGAAAAGGATCAGGCCCCACCTAGCATAAAGCTTAACATGGTAGCGTGAGCGTGTTCAGACGCAGCCAGAGCTGCGCGATGGAGGCAGCGCTGCAAGAGCTGCAGCGGATTGTTGGAGAGCAGGCGGCCCAGATCCAGAGGCTGACCGAGAGACCAGAATCTCAAGCTGAGGACCGACGGCTTGAGAGCATTGTGGACACGAAGATCCTGAGCAGGATAGGAGTCTTCTCAGGCGCAGATGAAGAATGGGGGCAGTGGTGTTTCGTGTTCGAGTCAACGGCAGGGCTCGTCGACCTAGAGCAGATCATGACTCACTGCGAGAACGCGGACGAGACGGAGCTAGGCTGGGTTACTCAAACGGAGAGAGTCCAACTGAGGATGAAGGTGCTGTAACACTTGCTGATCGCTACGACGAGAGGCAAGGCCCTCACGATCCTCCAGATGGTGCCAAAGAACAACGGTGCCATAGGTTGGAAGAGGCTCAAGGACGAGTGTGAACCGAAGTCGGGCGGAAGGCTGACGGCGATGCTGATGGGAGTGCTCAAGCCAGAGTGGGAGACGGCCATCAGAGGCGGCATCCGCATGTGGGAAGCTGCCTGGAAGGAGTAGGAGAAGAGCGTCTCGCTCTACGAGGCCCAGTCCCTGGAAAGAGTCACGGAAGGCACGAGGATTGCTGGCGCGGTCAGGTGGGCTCCAGAGGACGTGAAGGCCGTGGTCCGCCAAGCTCTGGGGGCGATCGGCCAGGACTACAGCAGGCTGGCCAAGGTCGTCACGGACTACATCGCCAGTGGCAAGGTCTACGAGACCACGGGCGCACCCCACGGCATCCAGTACGACGGACCCATGCCCATGGACGTCGGCATGGTGAACGAGAATGGAGACGTTGGCGGCATCTTCAAGCAACCGAAGGGGTACGGCAAGCAGTCGAGGAAGGATGCTGGCAAGGGTCGGGGCTCAGATCGCGACACCTGCAAGAACTGTGGCAAACGAGGCCATTGGTCAAGGGATTGCTGGGCCCCAGGAGGTGGAGCAGCCAACCAGGCAAAAGGCAAGGGCAAGGGCGCGAAAGGCGGAAAAGGAGGAAAAGATATGAAGAAGTGCGACAAGTGCGGGAAGCCAGGTCATGAGGCCAAGGATTGCAGGTCACACATCAAGTGCGACAAGTGCGGGAAGATGGGCCACAAAGCTTCAGAGTGCAGGTCGAAGCCAGAGAATGCTGAGGTCAAGAGGATAGTGAACGAGCAGGACGAGCTGTGGGTCATGGGTGTCGCCGAGAGCGTGAACACCATCAACGACGACAGCAAGTACGTGTGGGTCTCGATTGATAGCGGGTCGGACGCTGACGGGTGTCCCCTCGGCTTTGGTCACTCGAGCGACGACGTCGAGGACCCCACCAAGGTGGAGCTGAGGACAGCCACCAACGACGAGATCCAGGACTACGGCGAGCGGAACGTCGGCATCGCGTTTCTGGACGAGACTGGCCACGGGGTGATGGCCACGAACCGATTTCGCATCGGCGGCTTCAGCAAGCCCGTGCTCAGCTGTGGCATCAGAGTCATGAGAGGAGCAGTCGTTCACTTGGAGACGGGGAACAGCTACATGGCCCCGCCGAGCGTGAACGGCGTCCAGAGGAATATACCCCTGACAATGATCGGGAAGAGCTTCTACGCGTGGTGTCGGGTGCTGGAGGCGGGTGCTCACAGGCATCGAGTGGCACTTGTGATAGATCAAGCGGCTCATGAGCAAGAGCCAGCGCCAGGACCACCACCAGGACCTCAAGTTGCACCTGCACCACCAGAACCTCAATCTGCACCTGCACCGCCATAACCTCAAGCCGTACCTGCACCACCACCACAAGCAGGACAGCCACGAGAGATCCTGGGCTCCGAGTCGTCAGTCGAGGCATTGAGAGCTCGCCTGAAGGAGCTCAGGAGGCTTGGGACTATCGATGCGGCCATCTACGGCACCAAGAAGCAGCTGTGGGAGAGGCTCGTCAAGTGCGAACACCAGCTAGATGAGAAGATGAAGGTCAAGGAGGCCCTCGAGGAGCGTCAACGGCGACTCCAAGAAGGCGTCGATCCCGAAGTACCGAGGACACTGAATATCCCAGAGAGGCCTGACGCGGAGACCGTAAGGCAGCACGAGCTTACTCACGCGAAGTTCGAGCCCTGGTGCCTGGAGTGCGTGTTCGGAAAGGGAGATGCCGCACCCCATCGGGGAGTTCAGTTTCTTACGGACAAGGAGCCAGAGGTGCCCGTCGTGCAGATCGACTGCCATTTCTTGAAGGACGATGGCGAGAAGACCGAGGACGCGGCCAACCGCTTCTCCACCACGCTGGCCGTCATCGACTGCGACACGGGTGTTCCTCTACAGCTCAGCCTCCCAGAGAAGGGATGCAACCACGACTACACTGTGACCTCGATCGTGAGTTTCCTCAGGAGGTTGGGCGCCACTCAGCTCAGGCTCAGGAGTGACGGAGAGCCGAGCATTGTCAGCATAGCAAATGCGGTGGCGGCCAAGAGACTCAAGTTCGATGGCTACAAGGTCACAGTGGAGCAGACCCCCAGGTACTCATCGCAGTCGCTCGGAGCCGTGGGGGCGCAGCAGAAGATCTTGCAGGGCCAGACCAGAACGATCCGAGCTGCAACAGAGAAGATGCTGGGCATCAAGATAGGGCCAGGTCATGTTCTGTGGCCGTGGCTTGTTAGACACGTAGGCTTCATCACGGAGATGTTCCACATCAAGTCAAACGGACGGACTCCTCATCAAGATGCTACTGGCACCAAATACCATGGCGTCGTCCTGAAGTTCGCAGAGACCGCCATGTTCAAGCATCCGATGTCGTCGAGTGGCCACATGACGGGAGGCAGACGCAGTCGCAAGTCCAAGTCGATGTGGGAGAAGGGCGTCTTCCTGGGCAAGACGTACGAGAGCGACGAGTTCCTCATGGGTACGAGCAACGGGGTGCACTTGGTCAGGACTGTGCGCAGGCTCCCAGAGGAGGACCAATGCGACCCAGAGCTCGTGGCCAAGATAGTTGGGGTCCCCTGGGACCGAGGCATCGGCCAGATTGGAAGGCCGAAAGGCAAGAGGGTGGTCATTCTCCCGACTGCCCCACCTGAGAAGAAGCAAGAGGAGATTGAGGTCGACGATACCAAGGAGGAGAAGGGAGTTCCAGACCCCACGGTGGAGAGAGGAGTTGCCGAGGACGGGAACAGCTACGCGAGTGCCAGGAGTAGGACAGGCAGTGGCTACATGGACGACGTGGCGCTCCCCACACCGAGGCAAGAGGCAGGCGGAAGCTCGTCATCACGTCCTACCCAGCCCACTGGGGAGTCGGAGGTCCCAGAGGTTGAGATGGGCACCGTCGGAGGCGTCGACGGCTTCGTGATGGACGATCGACCCGATGCCCGTCATGGATCCAGAGATGGACATCGACTGGCACGAGGGAGAGTATGACGTGGACCTCATCGAGGCAGGCAAGTGCAAGGAGATCAACACGATGCAGGAGTTTGGAGTGTTTGAGGCGGTGTCGCCTGATGAGATAGACTCCACGTGGACAAGGTTGTCAACCAAGTGGGTGTACCAGGAGAAGGGCGAAGAGATTCGCTGTCGCTTCGTTGCCAGGGAGTTCAAGAGCATGGACCCCGAGCGCGAGGGGCTATTCACGCCGGCCAGCGAACCCACGACTGGCAGGCTCATTGACTTCAAGGCGGTGAAGCGAGACCAGCCCACCGTCATCATCGACGCTGTCAATGCCTACTTCCACGCTGAACAAGACAGGCTCGTGGCGGTGGTGCCGCCTCGGGAGTGGATCGAGGCCGAGGCGATCAAGGGCAATACTACGAGGACGATGTGGAGGATGAAGAAGAAGCTCTATGGCGAGAGGGACGCGAGCAGGGGCTTCAGTGACTTCATGAACCGCACCCTCGTCTCAGAGATGGAGTTTGAACAATGTCCTGATCAGCCATGCTTCTACCGCCGAGAGCGGGATTCAGTGGACCTGGAGCTTCATCAGGATGACATCTACGCGACAGCTGATGACAGCAACCTCCAAGCGTTCACAACGGAGCTCAGCAGCAAGGTCAAGATCAAGGTGAGCAAACTACTCAAGGTAGGTGCGAAGTACCAACATCTGAAAGGAGGGCGAATGAGAGTCGAGGACGGCATGTTCTTGACGGGCAACAGGAAGTACGCGGACAAGATCCTGGAGCTGCTGAACCTCGGCAAGGCGAAGAGCTCGCCCACGCCAATTGTGACGAAGCTACTGCAGGGGGACTTCGAGCATCCGCTGAACGCCGAGGAGACCAGTCTCTACAGGCAGTGCGTGGGCATCGCGAGGTACATGGTCAACTATGTCACGGAGGTCACGTTCGCTGTCCACGTGCTGAGCAAGAGGTTGGCCACGCCCACCGACAACGACATGAAGAGGCTCAAGCAATTCGGCAGGTACCTACTTGGAGTTCAAGACTATGCGCTGTTCTTTCCCGGAGCTGGAGAGACAGAGATTTGGAGTGCTACACTGATTCAGATTGGGCTGGAGACACCATCGACAGAAAGAGTATTTCTTGTGGGGTGTTGCGCTGCGGTGGCTGCACGCTTCTCGAGCACTCGCGCGGCCAATGTGCCCAAGCGCTGAGCTCAGGAGAAGCCGAGTATTACGCATCGGTGACAGCAGCCGCCGAGGCAATCCACCTCCAGAGTGTGATGGGTTTCCTGGACATGGACGTGGAGATCAGGATCCGCATAGACTCCTCTGCGGGCAAGGCGGTCTGCCACCGCGTTGGAGTGGGAAGGATCCGCCACCTTGAGGTCCGCACCCTGTGGCTCCAAGCCAAGGTGCGAGACAAGAAGCTGGTGGTGATCAAGCAGGCTGGGGAGACCAACCTGGCCGACGTGGGTACCAAGGCGCTGACGAGTCAGAGGTTCCACTGGCTGAGAGCACAGCTGGGACGACGGCCGTTGGCTGGCGCGGATGACATGAGGGAGAGCACGGCTGTTCGGGTCAACATCGTGAGCGACACAACGTCCAAGATGGCGAGGGTCGGCGCGGCCCTGATCGCTCTCCTGGACAGCCTGGGCCCGGTGAAAGCGGACGGTGAGTGCGACGTCTACGGCTACGAGAAGGACAGGAAGGAGATCGCCCTGCAGGACACCCGTCAAGAGACTGGCGTGCACCTCCAGGGCATGATGCTCATCATGGTCATGATCACTATCATGATCGTAGCATGCGCAGTTGGTGGCTGTGCGGGCTGGTGCATCGGCTATTTCATGAGGCCGAGTTGCACGAGCGAGAGCAGGCAGGAGAAAGAGAAGGTAGAGCTCAACCAGAGGGCCATCAAAACCAAGAAGCTGAAGGTCGAGTACAGGACCGTCTCGACCCAGAGCCAGGTGACGTACTCCTGGCATCGGGAGAGTCCGGGGTTTACACCACTGGGAGAGAGAGCTCAGGGGGCCTGGGCTGAGTGAGGTGAGTGAAGTGAGTGAGTAGAGTGATTTGATGCGGTATCCGCTGGAGAGTCGAGAGGACCCCAGCGGAAGGGCTTGAGCGACACCGCAGCAGCGTGTTTTGCCTGCGGCTCGCAGGACCAGGTTTTCCTTGATTTTGTGCACTGTTTCCTCGCTGAGCGGTCTGATCAGCCGCCTCGTTGAGCCTCCGACATCGCCCTCAGGGGGCGTGCAGATATTCGAGGGGTTTCGAGCGAGGATAATGAGTATTGCATGCATGCACGTTTGTATGTTTGGCCGAAGCCATTTTGTGATCGAGTTCGCCCAGGCCTGAGGTGAACAGGATCAGGCCCCACCTAGCATAAAGCTTAACATTTGCATAGAGAAAGGAGCGGATTACGACAACAAACAAGCTCACGGATCCTGCTGCCCCACAGAATTATGATGCTAAGTTCGAGGATTTCACGACCTCGCCATCGCCGCGTTGAATCGCACCGTGCCTGCGCCTTCCGCATCAGACGTAGTGCTTGCTCTGCAATGTCTTGTATATATATTATATATATGTATTTGTATATTATATGTATAGTTATAGTATATGTATGTATGTATGTATGTATGTATGTATGTATGTATGTATGTATGTATGTTAATATTTGCATATGTATATACATATATATATATATATATATATGAAGGCGAGAGCCTGCGTGGGCGACGCCAAATCGGCTCTCGCCACAGGGTTCCGAGCTCAGGGGGAAGAGCTTCTTTCTGCCTCACCCCCTGCGGGCGGCATTCCTGGCAAGGTTCCCGATGGATTGCTGGTGGTTGAACTACTGACAGAAGTTTGTAGATTCGTTGCCGGCCCCCCAGGCTGGCGCAGAAGTCTTGAGACAGCTATCGCAGGGAATGGCCTCGCTCGCCATCCTCCGGCACCCTGCGTCGCGCTCGTGTGCCGGACTCTTGATTGGCGCCCTGAGTAATTTCCGGGTCTCGTTGTCATCGAAACAGATGATTTGGGGGCTGTATTGGGTATCGATCTTTCGATGCCATTTCTTGCCTTCGGAAGCGATTCGTATTCGGAACATGGATTGAGCTCATAGAGGGCGCTACTGAGCACTGCGGGCGCACGTTGCGACAACGCAAACGTTTCAACTTCACCCTCTCCATGGTGCGGTCTCTTGCAGAACGCTCCAGACCAATCAGTCTCCCGCGGGGTCGCGGAAATAACCTCGCATTACCTGCTGCGCCAGAGGAGATGGCAGTCATGCGCGGCCTGCGTGGGAAGCTCAATTGGACATGCGGGGAAGGGTGCGCCCAGCGACTCGGGGTGCGCATCTTCTGAGCAGCACTCTGCCCAACTCCAGTGTGAAAGACCTCGTCGAGGCAAATGCTGCGCTGCGAGACGCCTCATGGACGCCAACGCCACTATCGCCATCAAATCCATGCCTGTCTCTCGCCTTCGTCTGGTTGCTTGTGCGACTCGGGGCTGGACCTCGAGGGCGTTGGGCAAGGTCGCTCCCGGGCAGGCGACGTGATCTGTGCCGCGGACAAATATTTCCTGGTTGGAAACAAGGCTGATGTCGGGGTTACCTGGCATTCCCTCAAGACTGAGCGTGCTGGGATCTCTACTTGAGTGGGGGCCAATTATATGTCCGAGGTTTTGGCAGGGGCCAGGTGAGTTACTTCGTGGCTTTTCATTGTGACCGTTCAGCGATGCGAACTCACATATCGACGCAATATGAACCGAGAAATCCGAGCGACGGCTATCATGGGGCATCCCTCCGACCTGGACATAATCACCATGGCCATGGCCGACGCAAAATCTTTGTACGACTGTATCAATCGGGAACAGTTCGCCTCGACTGAGAAGCGAGCTGCCCTAGAGATTGCAGCGGTTCGGGATTATTCGGGGAAGCTCGGTGGTCAGTGTCGCTGGTTCCCACGCGATCTGAACCCTGCGGGCGGTTTGGTGCAGTTAAAAGAGACCGTACAACCCCTATTACAACTTTTGCAGGCGGCTACATTGCGTATTATTGGCTACCGGGAAACGCAACCCGAGACCGAACATTTCGAAGGACATTCGTTCGTTGAACACTACTTCCTCTCGTGTGTCTCCGAAGCGTTCCATCCCTCCTCCCCGGCCTGCTGCAGAGCCTCTTTCGATGTGTGATTTTCGGTATTGCCCTCCTCGCGCAGTGGATGTCTCAGCGCGTCGTCACGATGCGCCGCCGTTTGCATTGCGAGTTTGGCTTGGTGGCCGGTTTTTTTTCGCAACCTGCGGGGCCATGCCGCCCGAGGGCCCAGCGCCTTGATCCCTGACAACCGGCCCGTCTCCGGAGGGGAACAGGGTCACCCCTCCGTCTTCGACAGCGACATCATGGGCGACATGTTCTACGACTGCGAGGACCACGACGAGAAAATGGGCGGCGGCTCAGGTGGTTCAGCGACCGCATCGGCCGACGACCCTTGCGTTGCCCCCCCCCCCCACAGCTCGGCGCTAGCGGCGCCCCCTGAAGGCCGTCCCCGCGCGTCTCTCTACCACGATCTTCAAGCAGAACAAGGATCAGGCGAGGTGCGTGAGGGCAACCGAGAATAATTCCTCCAGGGGACCCTGGAGGAGACTCGCCCCGACTCGGGCTTCCAGGATTCCATGGGCGTGGACGGCGTGGGGACCGCGGAAAATCGACGAAGAGCTGCGTGACGAGCATCGCAGGGCCACCGACATGCACAATCCGTACTCTTTCAAACGCTTCGAACCCAGTGGCAGAGGCATCATCGTACTCGACGCCGGCGACAGTGATGCCGTGAACTGCGCGGCCAGGGAGGATGCCGATAGGCGGCCCCTGTCATTTGATGCCGAGAAGAAGAAATGAGATCATGACGGGTTGAAGCCCGAAGATCATCGACCGCATAGGCGAAAGGGCAAACAGGGTGCGCCTCGTGGGCGACTGCAACAGGACCGTCGAGGATTACGTCAAACGCCTCGAGCTACCTGAGGAGGTCCCGGGGGAGTGGATGCCATTGGACTCGGTGCCAACTGTCTATCACGTCAAGGCTCACATCGCACTCTTCATGGCGACGACCCAGCACCTCGAGCTGGAAGTTCGTCGTTTGGACCAGGTACTCACCAGGTTGCAGGATGCCGAAGGCGGTTCGCTGTGCCGTCAGCAGAGGATCGTTCAACTCCAGCAGGGGGGGGGAGCTTCGAGCTGAAGTTCAACGGGTCAGACTGCAGCGGTGCCTCGATCTGCATCAGACCAAGACTGCGTTGACCAAGCAGCGCGTCGAGGCGGAGAACGGACTCGCGTGCGCTCGACGTCAATTTGAGGGGCCGGATCGCCAGGCGATTGACCCAGAGACAGCGAGGCCCCGCATATTCCTCTGCAAGTTCGCGGTACGTTCAGAGATGCAACGCACCCAGCCTTCCAGAAAGAACCAGCTCGCGCAGTCACCCCTCGATTTCCATACCTGGGCTTCTTGGAACCGCTACTTCAAGAGGCAGCTGCGGAATCGCCTCTACAGGATTAAGCGCGCCACGAACGACAAGAGAGGCAATTTCAGCATGATGGCGGGCCTGGAGGAAGCAGTAGACGCGCCGGTGAGAGTCCGAACATGCCGAGAAAAACCTAGGCCGCGCGCCTCTATCTTCGCGGACTCGACCCGCGACCGAGGAGGCTGTCCAAGCCAGACGGGATAGGCGTCGGAGGCGCCGGCAGAACAGGAAGGCCAAGCGCCAGACCGAGCAGTCCGAGGAGGTTGAGGACGAGGATTCGAATGAGGGCGACGACGAACAGGGAGCATATACCACGCTGGCCGAAGAACCCCGCGGTAGACAACCTGGGGCGGCATCAGGTGGCCGCGTCTGCGGCGACGACGTTCTACGGCAGTACGAGGCGCCCTGCGGAACCGGCTTGGAAAAAGAGAAGAGATTCATTGCCAAGGCTGTGGCAAGAGAAGAAGAACAAGAAGAGCCCGAGCCGACTCCATAGACACCAGAGGGCGACGCTCCAACGGCGAGTGGGACCTAGAGACCTGCGACAGGAGCACGGCGTCCTGGCGTCAACGCTTACATCGCCGACGGCGCGGCCCAGGAGACAGCCAGGGGGACAGTCAAGGAGACTGCCGAGGTGATCGAGCCACTCCTCCCGAGGCCGAAGTGCGCCGGGGCCGTCGGTGTCTACGTCGTGTTCCCCGACGATAACGACGACGTTAACGTCCTGGTGCATCCTCGAAGCTCCAAGGTGCGTTGCTCGAATGCGGTCGCCACTCCAGGGGGGCAAGTCGATCGGCGAGATATGAATGTTGCTCACGAGCGAGACCTGGGCTTCGATTGCGCTGCCAGGTACGCGGCAAGTCGGGGGCATAGCGAAGAAGCTGGACTGCGCACTCGTTTGGGCGATCTGGTAGATATTCCTCGCGGCAAGACCAATATTCCACTTCGCAAGTGTTTCGGGTGCGTCTACTTGGCGCCGCCCGAGGTGAAGGGGCCGCAGTGTCGCCCTCGTGGTGAAGTGGCATAACAGGGCGCTCAGGACTTAGGATTCCCCGCCGGAGATCGCTACCGCGCCTGGGTCACCGTGGACGACCTCGTCGCGCTACCAGACCTTCTACCAGCGCTCAAACAGCCCCTGGGCTACATCGCGAAGGTGGAAATGGAGAGGATCCTGTCCTGCAGACGAAGCAAGGCATGGCGAAGCAGGCGGAGATGACGAAGGACGAACCATCCCAACCGAAAGGAATGGATGCTGGCCGACCGATGATGTGATTTACTACCTGGTACTAAAGAGCCGCGCCCAGCCGATCGCCCAGGGTCTGAGCTTCAACGCGACGTTCAACGATGCCGCGTCGGAGACGATGGCCGTGAACCAACAGTGCTCGAGACAGCCTACTTTCCGTATTTGGCCGAAGATGTTGGAAGTGCCAGTCGACATCGCTCTGAGTCTGGTCGAGTCGTGCAACGCGTTCGAG